AGCGTAGAGAAGCAAAAGCCACGATAGTGCGGGCGAGAACCAGAGGAGCTGACCCCATGCTATCCGCACAAATGTTGCATCAACTATTCTGTAATATCTGGGACACCGCGACTTTTCCGGCCGACTGGATGCAGGGACCTTCACTAACCAAAGAAGGGGTATCTGACTGTGTGCGACAATTGGCGAGGCATCATGTTACTGTGTATTGTTCTCAAAGTTCTGTGCAAAGTTATCCTGAATCGGATACAGGAGAAGATCGACGCGACTCTCCGACGGCAGCAGGCAGGATGAATCTATATTCTCTCACACGGACATCACAAACTAACACTTCCTTGTGTGGCACGTTTCATTGGGTTCCTAGATTCGCCTAAATGCATTACCAATGCATGTATTTGTATATTGTGTGGCAAGCACAATAATACTATGCCCAGGGAAGTCGAGAAAATTTTCAACCCGAAAGATTCCCTCGACTTTCCTTCATTTTCCGTCGATCTTGTTTTCCGTACTGAATACCAGTGCTACCGACGCCAGGGAGCCAGCTCCCACACAACGACTTTACTTCCCTTCCGAAGGAAGGCATGATCAGAGATTTTATGCCCCAGAAATACCCCACAGGCACCGACTAGGATTGAAGCCCAGGCCTTTTGGGATGAGAGGCAATCACGTTTACCACTAAACCACCGGTGCCGCAGTTCATTCACTGTTGGTATCGATTCCATGTTCACACAAACGGCACCATTTGAAATATTTAAAGAGTTTTAAGGATATAGATTTTAAACAACGAAAAGAACTAAGCACAAAAACAAGTGTACCGACCAATCGCGGTCCTACATCAACCTTCCGTTCGTGCCCCTAGGCACAGACTCTAGTACTTTTTTTCATTTTCATATATTTCATGTAAGCTTTGGGAACTTATCTAATAAAATTGGGGAAAATTATATAAGAAAGGTTTTGTAAACCTGTTAGATGACTAGAAAAAAATGGGTCATCTTTGGGTTACAATAAACAATTTTTGATTTTATAAAAATATTTTTTTTTTGCTTCGATATAACGTAACTCGATACAACGTAACGTTGCTTTATATCGAGGTACGACTGTACTCATTTTGCATTCATAATGGTTAACTAAATACGGGCCTGGCATAAATGGTTAGCATCCATGCTTCTAACGCTGAAAGACTGAAAAGTTGAATAAGTCAAATCTCACTCCGGGCAAGTCAGGAATAACCTAAAATGTGTTAACCAAAACAAATAAACAATAATCATTAGTTCAACAACAGATGAACTTAAATTAAATTTTAAACAAGACGTTAAGAGCAGAACTTCAAGTTAAGTTGCTTTCATTTAAAAAGTTTTTACTGCATAATGAAATCACAATATGATATCAGACTTATGTCGCGACAATTGAAATTAAAATGAGTTTTCATTATGATAGAAACTGCAAATTTTAATATCGATTTGCTTTCATTTTGTTAACCGACTTTGCTATACCAGTCCTGGAATAGTCTGATTTTGAGTCCAATATTTGTAACCTTGTATGGACCTAAAATAAAATATATTAAATGTCTGATATTAGATTCTGATTTTCCATCAAAGTTCTCGAAAGCACTGCTCATGTTTGAGAATTTTCATGAAGGAAACATCTTTTCTAAAATATCGGATTCTGATATCTAATCAAACTTTCAAATCCCAGAATTTCCAAATTTTCCCAAAGTCCATTTTTAAATCTTAAATTAAGACTTCATTCGCAGTACAGTAAAACCCTAAAGCAGCGGTTCGCAAACTTCTGTTGATTGCTACCCATTTTGAGAAATTCCATAAGCTCGCGACCCACCTATATTGAATACAGCAGATGTTGTGAAGCCAAAATGGCTATAGAATACCAAGAAATGCATTCAAACTATAAAACTGCCTGAAACCAAAAATAAAACAAAATGGCATAGGTTGAAAATTATGTTCTTCGTCCAAGCAACAAAATAACTAAGAAAAGGCCAGGGTAAAAGGTTCTCTAATAAAAAAAAAACTAATCGAACTTAAATAAATTTCAAACAAGTTAAAACACCTAAAAAAAAATAAAATAAAATACCATTTAGCTTTTAGCCAAATTAGTTAAAAAAAAGACCTCAAATGTCCAAAAAAATTCTGAAAACTAAAAATGGCCTTAAAATGCTAGTGTGGCTTTCAACAACGTTGAAATGTCTCGAAAACACTCAAAATAATATTGTTCTGTACCCTACTACGTACAGAAACTCTCCCAAACTCTCACCACATAGAATCGAACCATCTCTCCTCTCGTACGGACACTACCATGGAACCGATATCAGATTGGATAATATTAGGTAGCGATAACGATCGGAACTAATGACGTCACTGCGGTGATCGTCTAGCAGTGTTACAGTAGGGATCGACAAATCTATATACAGCTATCCCCCGAAGAACGCGTTACCCGAGCAAAGTCGGTTAACAAAATGAAAGCAAATCGATATTAAAGTGTGCAGTTCCTATCATAATGAAAACTCATTTTGATTTCAAATGTTGCGACATAAGTCTGATATCATATTGTGCTTTCATTATGCAGTCAAGACGTTTTAAATGAAAGCAACTTAACTTGAAGTTCTGCTGTTTACGTCTTGTTTAAAATTTAATTGAAATTCATCTGTCGTTGAACTAATGATTATCGTTTATCTGATTTGTTTAACACATTTTAGGTCATTCGTGATTTGCCCGCGGTGAGATTGGAGCCTAAGTCTTTCAGCTTGAGAAACATGAATGGTAACCATTTACTCTAGGCCCGTATTCAGTTAAACATTATGAATGCAAAATCAGTAATCAAATTGATTTCATTGAAAGCAGGATTAGTTTTCCGTTTGCTTCAACAGTGTAAAATTTTGCTCTCATTTTTGCTGTGTTAACCGTTAAGTCAACCAAAATGAGATCAACTGGAGTATTCAAAATAAGTTACATCATAACAGCAAATTTTGATTTCCATTTGATCTTCAGCTTTGCTCGGGTACCCACTGAGTTGCACCCACCGCTTTTTCTCGGCGGGGTTTTTTTTGCATGTGAGTAGTGCCAATGGAGATTACTAGTTCGCTAGTAAATCAGAGCGCTTGGTTGAAAACCCACCGAGCCAAAGCGGTGGGTAGAACTCAGTGGGTAACGCGTTCTTCGGGGAAAAGCTGTATATGTATATAAATGAATTTGTCTATCTGTCTGACCCTTATAGACTCGGAAACTACTAAGCCGATTGGTGTGAAAATTTGAATGCAGGGGTTTTAGGGGCAAGGAAAGGTTCTTATGATGGTTCGAGACCCCTCCACCCGCTGTAAGGGGGGGCTCCCATACAAATGAAACAGAAATTCCTGCATAACTCGAGAACTAATCAAGCACATGGAACCAAATTTGGCATGTGGAGATCATATGAGATAGTCCCTTAGATATTGAATCCCGAGCATAGTCGGGCACACTCAGCTAGTATAATATATTTAGGAATAACCAGTCGGCTCTGACTCTCAAAGAGGGATGGATAGAGTAGAGCCACAAGGATTTAATATGTTATGAGTGTTATGTAATGAACCTTGTAAATATGTAAAGTGTTGTAAATAAATTATATGTTAGTAGTATGAACTTGACATGGAAATATATGTGATGTGTGATTGAATTGAGGATTGTGCTGTGTTGTAAAGAATGTGGATCGAAGGAACCTCAAAAAGAAAACAATCGAAGCGCCTACATCTGCTCTTATTACCAAAATGATCCAGATAAATGCCAAAAAGGCCTTAAAATCCCTAACACGAGCTAAAAGGACAACTCTCACAATAATCTTGAAACGTAATAATGGTCTCAAAGACACTAAAAATGGCCCGATGAAGTCAAAGTTCATCTTTCCAAACTGGCTTTAAAATGTTGAAATATCCTTGAAATTTCCAAATTGACCTGAAAACAACAATTTACCAATAATCCTGAAATTAAATTGAACAGCCCTAAAAACGCCAACAAGATTAACAAATGTACCGAAAAAAAATGGCATTGAAATTCGTTAAAGATTTGAGGACACAAAAATATTTATGGGGAGATGAATTTAAGAGATTTAAATTAGTGTAAGAAATTTTCAAACGCAGGCTGCGACCCACCGGTGGATCGCGACCCATAGATTGAGAACCCGAGCAAAGTCGGTTAACAAAATGAAAGCAAATCGATATTAAAGTGTGCAGTTTCTATCATAATGAAAACTCATTTTGATTTCAAATGTTGCGACATATGTCTGATATCATATTGTGCTTTCATTATGCAGTCAAGACGTTTTAAATGAAAGCAACTTAACTTGAAGTTCTGCTGTTTATGTCTTGTTTAAAATTTAATTGAAATTCCTCTGTCGTTGAACTAATGATTATCGTTTATTTGATTTGTTTAACACATTTAAGGTCATTCGTGACTTGCCCGCGTTGAGATTGGAGCATAAGTCTTTCAGCTTGAGAAACATGAATGGTAACCATTTACTCTAGGCCCGTATTCAGTTAAACATTATGAATGCAAAATCAGTAATCAAATTGATTTCATTGAAAGCAGGATTAGTTTTCCGTTTGCTTCAACAGTGTAAAATTTTGCTCTCATTTTTGCTGTGTTAACCGTTAAGTCAACCAAAATGAGATCAACTGGAGTATTCAAAATAAGTTACATCATAACAGCAAATTTTGATTTCAATTTGATCTTCAGCTTTGCTCGGGAAACGCTCCTAAAGAATTGTTCATGTTGTGGCATTCCGAAAAGTGTTACATTCAGGGGCTCTACCCTGTTTGGCATAAACACGAAAAAAGAACTACTCATGTTTGAAAGAACAGTAAACACTACTTAATGATTATTTACCTTACATCTTCTGTTGAAGTACAACCGGGGGACAAATATAACTATTTATTGGTATAAGTAGTGGTTTATGCACATTTATGCCAAACGGGATAGAGCGGAAAACAATGCTATTCAAAAAATGCATGATGAACTCACCTATGGGACTAGTGTTTCCTTGCAGCTGCTTGTACTGCTGTTCGTCGTGCAGGTCGATCATCTTCCGATTGAGAAGAAGCGGTGACGAAGGGTTGCTGAAACCGGGTCTGTTGCCGTTTAACATTGATACTCCACCTCCTCCGCCATCCTCACCCGGCAGGGGTGGCTTAAACGATTTCTGTTCGGACTTGCGATGCGAAAACGGAGACGTGGTCAGATTTTTGAATATACTCTGGCCCAAACTGCTCAGGGTCGATTCCTTCTTGGGACTTCCGTAGGCGGCGTGCAGTGGACTATCGGCCAAATTGGAATTCGGATCTGTTGCTGCTGCTGCTGCTGCTACTGCCCTTCGCGGTAAAAATGGCGAATGTTTGTACTTTCGATTCACTTCCGGACCGGTGTTGCTAATGTTGTTACTACTGCTGCTGCTGCTGTTACTATTACTAAATATCGCACTTTTTGGTTGCAATTTAAGATAATGTGCCTGAGGTGTTTGCATTTGCTGCGGTTGTGCGGGCGAGGGAGATCGCATATCGAAGGTTGTAGTGGAAGACGAGGTAGCTTGTGACGGTGCTAAGCTGATGCTGCTAAGTTTCACCTGCAGAGTTTGCTGCTGGGCATCGATATTGTTCTGGTGCTGTTGCTCGAAGGTTGGTTTATTATGGTTCGACAAATTGCTAGACTTGATCGGTATTGACGAAGCTATTGCTGATTGCTTTTGCTGGTTGGACTGTGCCTGAACCGCTTCCGTCAGACTTTCGTAGGGGGTCGGGACTCTGCAACAACAAGCCAGGGTAAGTTTCATTGCAGCACCGTCGCTTTTAACATCATATAAGGTAATATAGGTATCGTGTATCGGAAAAAAATCTAACGGTTAGTACCATGCAACACATTCACAGAGCAAATCTACTGTTATGGGTGGTTAATGCAATTGAAATGACCAGCGATACGGCTAAATAAATTGTAAATAATGGTTGAAAAGTATACTTACTGATTAGAACTTAAAAATACTAAAGAAATAGTTACCTACAAATAAACAAAAATAATCAAAAGTACTATGGTGCTCACGGGGTGTGGTAGTTGTCGGTAGTAAAATGTAGTATAGATATAGCAGGCAAAGATCGTGGAAAAGAACTGAAAATCAGTTAAGTTGTTTGAGGCACTGAAAATTGCGTTAAATGGTTTAAAACCATTGAAGTTATTCCACTGCTGAATATATAGTTATAGGATATTTAGCTAGACTGGAATAGATAGAACTATTTTGGCGATTCAAAATTTTCTATATTTGTTCTGCAGCTACTTAAACGATTCTGGTTTATAAAAAGGGGTAAGTCGAAAACGCCAAAAGTTTCCGCCAGAAATGTGGTACAGTGTCAAATGGATAAGACAACCGTAGTCTTCAATCACGAGAGTAAATACCGGTCAACAGCGGTTCTGTTCTGTTGTGACCAATTAAGACAAAATTTCGGGACGGGACTACCAATATCTAGCACGGAATAATATCTCTAGATTAACATTTGAAATAGGCGGAACAATGGCCTTAAACGCAAATTTCTCGAGCATCAAAACACTTCCAAGCAATCTAACACCAGCATCCGATAGAGCAAGCTTCCTTTGTCAAATGGCATTGTTGTAGCGAATTCGTTTATTGTTCAGTTCCAACCTGGATCGGGTATCAAGATTGGGCCTGCAGTTTTTCTGGTTCCTCAGATTGAGGTTCGCACGTACTTTCCCCGATAATAAACGAATTCGCTATTAGTTTGCGTGGGTGTGTTTTGATTCTCGAGAAATTTGCGTTTAAAGCCATTGTTTACGTTTGGTTGTTCCGCCTATTTCGATTGTTGGTCTAGTATAATTTGAAATTGTTTTAAACAGTACGGGACATAATCTCTGCATCAAGTAAAAAATCTGAGATTCCTGTACTGTTACAGAGAAAGAAACTGTAAACTGTCACTTGAGTGTGGATAACATTTTTAGGATTACAACTATCAATTTCCTCTATCAATCGGAAATTGTCGAGAAGATGATTTTTTCGTATCGCATTTGAGGTAGGTATGTCAATTTTGGAATACCACTTTCGACTTTTCTTTTATGTTTGATCAGAATCATCAAGTCGTTATCGTGTGGCTACGAATGCAAGTAAAAGTAATAGTAGTATTTAGTAGCAGTGGAGCAAAAACACTTCGATATTAATTAGTGTAAGCTCAAGTTAATAAACTAGTTAGTGGCAAACATTAGAGAAACTAAGCGCAGTGTCTATTGGAGCGAGTGTCAGTTGAATCGCCTTGCAAGAGAGCGCCTTTAATCAAACTTGAACTTTCATAAAAGTAACATCTAAAACAATCCTCATCGAAACATTGTTGCAGGATTAAAAGAAATTAGTAATTATGAAGAAAGGTAAAATCGAAAATTGTAAATTGCAAAATCATGCAGGAGGAAAAACATAAACTGTTTTCTAGATGAACCTACCTATTCTGATCCGACGCCGACGATAAAGGCCTCTGGATGCTGACGGAGGTCGGCGAACTGGCGGAGGCAATCGCATTCGAGGATACAACACCACTAGTGGAGGCAACCAGCTGCGGGTTACTCAGCTGGATACCACTGCTGAGAGCCACGTCCCGGAACCAGCCGGCAACGTCGACGGATTCCAGTTCGGCCCGCTGCAGAAACGGATGCTTCAGCAGGTCCGGATACTTAGGTCGGGCTTCGTAGTCCTTCTGCAGGCAGAGCTTGACAAAGTCTCGGAAGTTCGAACTAAATTCCTGGTCATCGGGCAAACTGGGCGGGCTGGATGTGAGCACTTTGGTGAGAACCTCAAAGTCGGTATTACAATTGCGGTAGGGAAAAACGGCAGTGGCCAGCTCGACCAGCGTTATACCCAAGGACCACACATCCGCTCGGATATCGTACGACTGGTTGGCCGGGTCGATTCGTTCGGGCTGAAATTGGAAACGAAATTGGCGGTGCATTAGGGGTGGCTAGAATCGTCGGAATCGGAGACGCTCTGGGAATCTTTCTAATTGGTTAAAATGGAGAACCTTTTCTCTATTGATTATCTGAGATTTGAGGAGCAAAAACTTTTGTTTGTTCAACCAGCGAAACTGTACTACAATTAACTGATACTGCTGCCTTGAAAGTAGGTACCACTTACCGCCATATAAGCCGCGCAACCAGCCGCCCGGGTCCGGGCATTCGAGTCCACCAACCGACCGCTGATGCCGAAATCGCACAGCTTGATATTCCCTCGGTCGTCGATCAGTATGTTCGACGGTTTCACATCCCGATGGATGACGTTGTGGCGGTCCTTTAGGTAGGCCAGTGCATTGACCGTGGCCACCGTCACCTTGCCCAGTATTCGCTCGGGAACGGGCTTTTTGGACTTTTTCTGCAGCTTATCGAAACAGGTCGTCATCAGTTCCATGCAGATCCACACGTCCGCATCGGTGATGAAGCAGCCCAAGCACTTGACGATGTAGCGGCACTTTTCCGACTTGAGCACCACATCCAGATCCATGATGATTCGTTTGTTTTCCTCCTCGATTCCGGTGCGACGCATTTGCTGCAATCCGAGAACGATAGTAGGGATCAGTAAATTATGACACCACGCCCACGGATTGAGTCGGCAAACGGCAACTCACCTTAACGGCAATGATCGCCCCGCTCGGCTTGTGGCGCATCTTGACCACGTGTCCGCTGGTTCCGCTACCCAGCTCGCCCAGATCCTGCATATCGGTTAGCGTCGTTTTGAACACCTGACCGTTGATTTTGATCATGCCGCTCTTGTCGATGATCTTCATCAGCTCCGCTTCGTTCCTTCGGCTGCCGGACTGGGTCCTGAGAGGTAGATCCAGATCTAGATTGGGGCCTGAAAATACAACAACAAATACGTGGATTAACCTATTATATAATTATAATTTGCAGCACATTACGTTACATTTTACTACAAATGTTATTGAAGAAGAAGGAATTCTTGCATGTGCAATCTTCCAACTCGTAACTGAGAATGTTTCTGTCTTCTGAAGTCAGTGCTGCTTGCTGCTACTCTAATTTGTAAATCAGATTCAATCAATTCCGTTCAATGTATGCTATCCGTCATAAGTATGGAATCTCCTTGGCTCCTAGTTGCAACACTAATGTTGAACATTGCAATTGTTCAGCCATCCATAGAAAAAGGTAAATTTCTTTGTAAAATATCAGCACATTTAAACATTTCAAAACTTCTCAAAAGCTACAGGTCTTCATCAACCGATGCCTGCGGTATATAATTGATACCTGGCGGCCTCACAACTAGATCTCGAATGCTGAGCTGAATCTTCGATACTACCACAAGCACAATACGAAGATAGTGGAAACTAAATCTGCAAGCAAGTACTGGGTTGGAACCCAGCAAGCCATAGCAAGAGGCATACTCAGGGGCTCATGGCGTGGAGCATCAACAAGGATATCAAACAAGTCGATAGGAATTTGACTCGAGGCCCCTCCGTGATTGATCAAAATTAGTTCCATTGATCAGTTACCGTCCATTCTCATGGTACAAGTTTCAGTTACTCCATATATTGAAGATCAATAATGGTGCCGTCTAGAAATCACCTTGATATTGATAAGTGATCCCTAATAAAATGTGTTATGTTGCGGCCTGATAAGAAAATAATGCAGAACTTCTGCACAGTAAGCAAAAACGGTGGCCACTAGCCAACCGAACCCTCCAACGATCGTTCAAGCCCGCCCGCATGAACAGGTTTGCTATGGGTGATGCGAAGATGGGCCTCAATCAAAATCGAACCATTTTCGAGTTGCCAAATCCAGCCAATTTTGACGTAGACTACGTCTTACGGGAAGGTACTGGGGGTAAATCGAAAATCTAAAATTGCGACCGTCACGAAAAGGTGTAAGGTTTTGAACGCTTATAACTTTGTCATTTATAGATGAAATTAAAATCCAAATACACCAATCGATAGGAAATAACTCTCATAACTACAATAAACGCTTTTTTTTTTCAATTTTCCATAAAAACTGTTGAGAAATGTACAAATAAAAAGTGATTATTTTATAACTGTTTTCGTGAAATAAACGTTCTCCCCATACCCAGTCGTCATAATTGAGTACCATTTGGTTGCACATCGTGCTGCTTGACTCTGAAAAGTTATAAAACAGCGCTGCTTTTATGCCTCAACTCAACGAACACATTCTTTGCTCAACTGTTGAGCTGTTCAGTTCGTATCAGTTTCGCTCGAGTTCTCGATTTTATTTTGGTGCAAATCAAGCCCAGCGCGTCGCAGGAAGACGCCGGAAAACGAGTACTGCAAGCCAACCAGTATGCAGTACTCCCGGAAGAAAATGGCGATGGTGACGCCGTTCCCATTGCAAGAAGAGAGCGGATTCCCCCGCTTTCACGCCGATGTAGGATGTTGCCAAGCTGGGTGCCGAACTGGCAAACACAAGCTGCTGCCTCGCTTCAAGATTTGCAGCAGCGGTACCAAAATAATGTGCCTGGAGGAGTACAAACAAATAGGATGTTTCCTGAAGAACAACAACGTGGACTTCTTCACGCATGATCTGCCATCGAGCAAGCCACTGAAGGTGGTTTTGCGTGGATTACCGTCGTTCGAGGCGACTGCGGTGAAATCCGAGTTGGAGCGGTTTAGACTCGAACCTGAGGCAGTGTACCCGATGAACCGGCGTCCCAACCCCAACACCAGCTTCCATGATCAGTTGTTCCTGGTGCATTTCACAAAGGGATCCACCAGTCTTGCGGCTCTGAGATCCAAAATCCGGGACCTGTTTCAGGTCATCATCAGTTGGGAGCATTACAAACCCCAACATCGTGATGTAACGCAGTGTATGAACTGCCTCTCATATGGCCATGACACCAAAAACTGCCACTAAAGACAAACTGCGGCAAGTGTGCTGGAACTCACTCAACTGCGTCCTGTGAGCAAGTCGATGACATCGAGCCAACGTGTGCCAACTGCGGTGGAAACCATCAAGCCTCCAATCGCGGATGTCCCAAGCGAGTGGAGTTCATTAATATCCGTCGGAAGGCCACAATCAACAACCAGCTCGGTCGCCTCCGTAATCATCGTTCGCCTCCTGTACTCACGGAAGTCCAGTACCCAGCTCTCCAGCCTCGTCGACATGTTCCGAACCTAGCTCCGCTTCCGCTTAACAACCAACAAGCCAATTCTGCGAGTATCCAAATGGTTCCCAACAGTCGGACAGTTCAGCATCGTCTCGCTGCTGCTGCGGCCCAGCCAATTCCAGGTTCATCCACCGCCCCTGGTTTATCATACGCTGGTGCTGTCTCAGGTGAACCTGTCGACGATTCTCCGTTCACCTCGGAGGAACTTGTGACGCTCGTGGCCGAGGTCATCATCATCATGCGCACATGCAAGGCTCGATTTGAACAGCTACACGCTGCCCTGTCCCTTGTCATTAAGTATAGACCGTGAAGCCATCAAGATCGTCAATTGGAATGCTTGCTCCTTGAAGAGCAAAAACATCGAGTTTGTTGATGTTAGAGGCGAACTACGCCACTGTCGTCCGGCTTCACCCAACCATGCGCATCGGAATAATATCACTTCTTGGCAAGCCTTTTGACAACCATTGATGGATAGCTGTCATTACCATTTCCTATAGTCATTTCTACAAAACCATCCTTTGTTAATCACAAAAAGGGCAGAGATTAGAATTTGTAGCTTATAAGGTACGAAATAGTATATTGCTGAATTTATACCGTCATCCTGACTGATTTCTTGAATTTCAATTGAATTCTTTATTGTCCCTCGATTAATTAACTTTGCGTGAATAAACTTACAGCTTTGAGCTCGCTATACGAACCTAACCTTGCGTGCTACAAAGGGAATCCGAAATTGTCTCAACAGTTGACTTTCTCAACGAACGGCACATCGACATAGCCGACATCACCGAGACTCACTTGAAGCCCGAGCTGAACGTGTTTCTTCCCGACTTTCGGCTCGTAAGGCTTGACCGCACCAGCTCCGGGGGAGGGGGGGGGGGAGTGGCCATCGCTGCGAGACGGAACATCAGCTGCCGGCTACTACCAAGCTTCCAACTGAAAATTATCGAAGCCATCGGAGTTGAGGTGAGTACATCGCTTGGTCCAATCACCATCATCGCGGTCTACCATGTTAGCAAACTAACATTAGGGACGGCTCGGTCGCAGACCTTTAAAGAGACATCATCAAGCTAACACGACGGCGGCAAAATTTCGTCATCGCTGGCGACCTGAACGCCAAGCATCAAGCCTGGGGCAATAGTCGGCGAAACCAGAACGGCACAATATTATACAACGATCTGCAGCAAGCCCACTACAACATCCTGTGTCCGGACACTCCCACCCGGTTGAGTCGATCCGGAGCTCATGCCACCATCGACATCTTCATCAGCAACATTGGCGATAACATCTCTCAACTTATCGCCTATCAGGAACTGAGCTCGGACCACTATCCGGTGGTGGCCGAAGTAGGTTCCTCGGCCAATAGGTTTCAAGTTTCCCGGCGAAATTACCATCGTGTCAACTGGCAGCAGTATCAGCGCTGTGTGGACACAGCAATCGATTACGACGTCCTACCGGAGTCGTTCGAAGAAGGCGATATCCCGTGCCAGGGAGCAACACGTACCAGCATCCAGACAGGTGAGTCATACTCTGAACCTTGACAGCCCAACCAAAGATCTTATCAGGCTCCGTAACACCATTCGTAGGCAGTTCCAGCGTTCTGGGCTGCCCCATTTGAAGACCAATGTCAATAGGCTAACCAACATTATCCAGGCCAGGATGGTGGAACTCAGAAATAACGATTTTGGTCCTTCGAGCCGGATCGAAGGAGACCCCGGTCAGAAGGTTTAGTGCACGAGTGGTGACTAATTTCCCGATCCTTTCGACCAAGTGATGGCCGGCAAGAGACCGTATAGAAATTTGTGTTGTGTTGTGCGGAATACTGGATACGCCAGATTCCATTTGTGTGGCAACTGAGTAGCCGTTAACCATTGCTGCTGGCATTGTACGATCCCCGAGAAAGAATAGTGTCTGATCTCCGGCAAGCAAAGCATTGTTGCTGTGCCTTGCTTTGATAGGAGAAGTGTGTTGCAATTAGCCTAATAGAATTTGCCCGTAGTGCGGCACAAATTGAAGAGTAATTATTGATTTTTTTGGCCTTGTTGGCGGCAAGGCAGATACGAACGACACGTTAAAGTGACCATAGTGACAGTGTTTGCACCGATCCGCGAATTCGCAACGCAATCCGTGTATTTCGGCGGGAAGGATTTTCGTCCGCGTCGGGAAGGATTAAACCGTTACCGTCCGCGTCGGGAAGGAGCAATTCGCACTCGTCCGCGTCGGGAAGGATTATTTCGATATCGTCCGCGTCGGGAAGGAGCATTTCGAAACCGTTTTTCGCGATCGTTTCGTACTAGATCGGTGCAAAATGCCGGACAAGAAGATCGAAAAAAGGCTGACTGATTTGGAAATCGTGAAGAAAGGCCTGTACGTGCATCGCGATGGCGTTGAAAGGTTTGTGAAGGACTTTCAAGTAGATCGTGATTCATGCCAGATACCCGTGCGGCTTGAATCTCTGGACAGAGTGTACCACGAATTTCTGGAAGCGCAATGTGAAGTCGAACGGTTCAGCTGAACGATCACCTGACGGAACGAGCCAATTTCGAAGCACGTTACTGTTCGGCGAAAGGCTTCTTGTTGTCCAAGCGAACAGCAGAAGCCAACCAAGTGGCACTCAACTCTTCGATCCATCATGCACCAGCCAATCCAGGTACATTCCACCTTAGACTTCCGCAGATTGACCTCCCCAAGTTTAACGGGGATTTCTCGAAGTGGTTGTCGTTTCGAAA